ACTGTAAACAAGTTTACTTATTAATATAGCAAATAAGTCTAGAACGAGAATAGGTAAATAGAAAAACTGTAAAAAAATGTAACAGAATATTTGAGTGAGTTATCCCTAAAGGCAAATTGAAACGAATAAATAATAAAGATCGAATACATATTTCAATTACTAGAAATAAAATCTATATTAAAAATAATTCAATGAGGAAAACCTTTCGAGATATATACATAAATAAATCATAGCACGGTAAACGTAAATGTAACATTAAATTACCTCGAGCAAAAACGTTTAGGCCTACTTTTACAAATAGATGCCAAGCATACTTAGGGTAAAATAAATAAAAACAAACTTGGGATCAATGGGCAACAGTATTTAAAGCAAAGAAAGAGGTGAAAAACTAGCCCACTAAGACAAAAAGTTACAAGCATTGGAGTTAAGGAAGGAACATGAAATTTATCAGGGCTATTTTGCGTATTAATTAGAGAACAGAGAAGTAAAATTAAAATGAACAAGTGTACATATATTTTTAAAGAACTAATTAATAGCATGAAGTGTGGGCGACATCGAATATGAAGTGACTTAATTAAGCTAGTATGCATAAAATAAACGAATGAAATATTTTCAAGATTTAAGCTTTAAAACAATCGATTCGGATAATTATTCGATTCATCAAAACAAGTATAGAAAACTGACTCATATCCTTAGCCAAAGAAATAAGTTCATCGTCGTTCATAGTGTTATTTTGGGAATCTGGAATAACTGAAACACTAGCATGGGTGCTTCTGTCTGCTAAAGGACGCTCACTAGCTGCGATACTATGTTCTGGCTGTTTTGATTCGGAAGGTTTAATGTCAGAGAGAGGAGGTGCTTTTGGGCGATGAAGGTTGGGTTGAGGATGAGGCGCTTTAGCACGGGTTGACTCGGCATTAAGGAGTTTTGATAACTTTCGCTCATAAAGCTTTCTTGTGGTCGGGACTATTGGACCGATTTCTACTCCAAGAGAAATAAGCTTGCTTCTCAGTTGATCGTCAGAAAGTTGGCCCGCCATTATTTGAAAGAGAGATACATATCATCCGGGCTTAGAGCGCAACAAATCAAGAGCGTCTTAAAAATAGAGCCAAAAAAATAAATATTATTTATGATAAAATAAGAATAGTTTAAAAATATGTTATTTAGCAAGAAGAAAATATACAGTTTTAGGGTAGGATTCAGCTGCTTCTTCACAATTTAATCAGTTTCCCACTTTATTTGCAGCTACTTTACATGTC